CCCCCCCCCCACCCCACCGGTTCCTTATCCTACTATACATCCGCCGTTCCATATTTTCGTATTTTGTGGATGCAAACCAAGTTTGTGGCCAATTGCATCATTTCTATGAAAGCAACAAGGAAGTAAATTTAAACCGTTTTGTTATTACACCACACTCATCTTACAAGTTTCACAGCAGGTAAAATTCCCTCGAGAATTTGTAAAGTTCCTTCATAAAGCTGGAATCCCATTAGGCAGTGTGTTACGCCGCAACCGTCTGTTCCACCTAACTGGTGTGTCCGCCATATCTGCTCCGCGGTATGACGCAACTTCTAGACCCCAGGCCATGAGTGATACTCCAGAGCATTCCAATGGCGTCATAACTACGCAATGTAAGTATCTACACTAAGACTTTTTATAATTTATCAGGTATATTCGCTTGCGCAGGATTGGTTTAGCTGATCGTCAAACGAAGTTAAGAAACTGGAATTTGCACCGAAAGCAAAGAAGGCACTAAGGTAATTATTGTATTTTGACAGTAAACAACCTGCCATACATTCCAAGCGAAAGCCATTGTAAGCCGAGACCAGTCGCCTTCAGAATACCAAAGAGTGTTCACGTTCGCACCTACCCTGATTATGTCATCCTCAACCGCTGCACTGGAAGTTGCACGGCCAATCAGGAGACCCAACACTGCGCTGTAACAGCACAAGACGCCATTAATGTTAAAATATTTGAAATAGTAGGCGACCAACCTTATATTACCAATACTGTCATCTACAATCACACTGCGTGTGGCTGCGATTGTATCACTAAGGAGAGCGATTGCGATCCACAGAAACAAACCTGGAACGAAAACACCTGTGGTTGTGATTGCATCGCCAGCGCAAACAGTTGCGCAGCCAACCAGAAACTTGACGACAAAAAATGCGTGTGTAAATGCAACGAAGCAGAAAAACACTGTGACCACGTACACAAAGTGTGGGACACCACGAACTGTGGATGTCACTGCAAAGCCATTCTTCAAGATCACTGCGCAGCTCAAAACCAGCTTATCAATTCAACTACTTGCGAGTGTAACAGTGTTCACGCATGAACGCTTGCGTGACTTTATTTTGTATCATTGTGATTCCTTTTACGGTGTCACGCATCTACGCTCTTTAGGCAAAACGCTACTATGTATCTACCAATAGCGTAGTAAAGTCAATTTCAAAATGTTTTCCTCGCAATTTCATATTCATAGGACAATATTGTGAAAGCAAATGGCTAGAAACAATTAAGGTGCCACGTTATTAAAGTTAAGTTTAACTTCAACAAGAAATATTTGCAAGACTTGAACTTCTAAGTATTCTCTTTTCATTATATCTTGATTTCTACAATATGACAGACAGAACTCGTTTGCTCAGCCGACAAGTTAAGTCTGTTCTCATGACCTGTCCTACGAAGAAAATCTTGTAATTATTATCGCAAAGAAAAGATGTCCATGACTTGTAGGAGTCTGCAGGTTAACAATCCTTGCTTGTACCAGGCACTAAGTTTAAAGGAAAAAGGAAAATGGGGATCTTACTCGTCGCTCCATTTCAGATCCCCGTCCTCTTTTCCTCGCCTCAATAGACCAAGAGCCTGGATCAAGCCGTAAAAGTTAGATCTTGGAAACTATTGATCATTGCCACACATTTCATTTCATTGCCTTTCTTGTCAGCTGTTTGGGGTGAGCACCGGTCGAATCTGTTTTATGGCGTTTCGAGGAACTTTGTCAAATAAAATTAGTCCAGAAGCTTTCTCGATCGTGTCAACTGGGACCTGAAACATGTGCATAGGTGTCTTGTCGTTGATTGGCTGATTGGGCAATATGTACGACTAGAGCGAGACACAAAAAAGCACATGATTAGGATATGTCTGTCATATGAACAGCACGTACATTACGTTGAAAAGAGGTTACATCATACGTGTCATAGAAAGTCAAGTTTGGACTTCCAAAAGCAAAGTTTGTCTTTTTTTAATTCAAGCTAACGTTTTCCAATCCCTAATTATTTCAGTGATTTATGGTTCATTTTTTAATCAGGCAACTGTAAAATGCATTCAGCAGAACTTTTACATAGCTGGGCCCGATCCAAAAGAACTAAATTTAAAATCTCCTACGCCATGGTAGCAAATAATTAAATTGTAAGGCAGAGAAGCTCACGCAGATCTCATTTGAACTCAATATCGGAGTTGAGCTTTGCTTGGCCGTAAAACTGAGCACCATTCAACTGACAGTCAAAATTAATCCGGGATTGCAGTTGCTTTGCTTTATTACGCCCTGTGACCAGTTAAAAAAAAAACTTGCGCTTCTCTCTCGACCAATCAAATGCAAAACAAAACCAAATCGCGACTTGGAGCAGTTTGTTTGTCATTAACTCCTTGTAACATTTTACCTTAGCTCTGAGTTGTTTAGACACTCAGTAGAAATGCGCTCAATACTTGAAAAGTGTCGTGAAAAGCAAAGACAAAGCAAAAATACATACCTGCATTTCTAACTGGTTATCCGTGGTCTCTCCCAAAATTACTTTAAAATAATGCGTAGGAACTGCGATGCGGTTTTTCCCAATCAACTAAGTTGAAAGAAGAGAAAATAAGTGGCAAAAATACAAGATACATGTAAATAAAAACTATGTTGTATTATACTTACAGACTTAGTAAACAACTTACCTTGTACTTCACATAAAGCTGATTGTCTGCCTCTATTCTAACACGAAATTGAAAACATAAAACATTAAACAGTTAATGAATGGTCCCGAGGAAAACAGCTCACTTTATCTCCCGAGAATCTCAGTGTTTCGCGAAGTGAAGCCAACTTTGATCAAGCTGTCCAAAGTTATTGTTAAAACACAGGAACATGCATGAGTAATATTCTTAAAAATAGGCGAGGGCGGAAGGGGAGGGGCGCGATTATGCTATCGTCTTTTGCGGGCCAGCCGGGAATTCACCGAAATGGCGAACGTTTTAACCGATTTATCACGCCACAAAAAGCTTCCAAAGAATCATCTTGTTTACTTGAAATTAGCACTACTTAGATACGCCCATGAAAGAATTCGCGTCTTAATTTCCTATGATCTAAGAAAATTCCGTCACTTGTATGACAAGCATTTCATTCCTTCACGCAAACACACACAAAATCATACCCAGTTATGCCTGTACTGACAAGAATCCGCGCGTTACTTCGCGGTACATTTTGCAGTAGCTGGAAGCAAGGGTGTTTTTGAGTAAAACTTGAAAAATACTTGATAGGTAGAAAGCCTCGAGCATGTGGAACAAATTGGTATATGATTTATGAAAAAATCAGGCAGTTTTTAATGAAAATCGGCCCAAAACGTTTCTCGAGTCGTTGCTTTCAAGGTCGTAGCTTGCATTCTCTATCTTTTCTTTCCTTCAGATAAATTTTTCTCAATTTTTTCCGATGTAAAGAGGATAATTTGTGCAATAAAGAAGATAGATCGCTGTGCTCGTTCAGGAACAAAAGACCCTGGTACCTGTTTTCCTCGTCCGTTGCTTTGAAAAAAGATTGATACTATGTTTTCAGAATGCGCGCACTTATTCCCATAAAAACGTGATGTTATGGCCATTACAACACTGAGGAGTCACCTTAACAAAATCTTTTCTATCAAAACTCACTTTGGTAGAAACAGAGGTCCAGTAACAACATACACGTTCTTGTATGACCTAACCAAGTGGCGGCAATATTTTTCAAGATGTTCCCAAGCATCATGATTAAATCCTGAGCCTGCCTTGGTGAAAACCAAAAAATTATAAATTACATTTATAAATTAAGGTAGCACTACCATATTTGCAACACTTTTCTCATCTACGGTGATGCCAGATAAGTTCTACTCCCAAATATAATTTCAACACTTTTGGAAATTTCAACCAGAAGCTTCATTCCGAAAAAAAACCCCTACAAAACCCATATTAGCATTATCCTAATATTTCAAAAATCATTGCTCTCCAAGAGCCCCGAAGGCTGGTGTTTTCACCAGATATTTGATTCTGTAGCATTTTAACCTTCATCAGATTCTTTTTTTCCTTCTTTTCTTATAGTCAGGTAGTACAAAAATCTCTGGAGAAAACTGCTGAACAACAGTTAGACAGCAATAAACTTTTGGTCACTAAAAGTTAGTGAAATGCAGTGGCCAATTTTTCAAAAGTTAACTCTGTGAATTTGTCACACTTCCTAAATGCCCACCACTTATTAGTTGACTGAATTCAGTCAGCCAGAAAGGTAAAGTATTTGGCTCTCAACCTGGACCTTGAGCCAAATACCTTCCTATTCAGCCCTCCCTTTCAGTCAATAAGCACATATTACTCACCGACTTGAGGACTCATGTTACTGAGAAAGAATGTAGCGCACATAGAGTTCTGTGATGACCTGTGATTGGCAGCTGCAGCCAAGTGTCCTCTGTCATATCCACTCCCCCTACCAAAAGAATAACAAACTAATTAGAAAACAGCTTGTACAAAGTGTTTGCATTTAGTAATGCCCAACACAATAGTAGACATAGGAAAGCTTGGGATTAGGTTGAAAAAAAGGGGGGAAATTGGGTCGGTTTGCCACCTACCCCATCCCTCCCTCCTTCTTTTGACTTGCTGTTGATAGATTGATCAGTTTTCTTGGGGGAAGATTTCTCATACAGTGAAAATTTAGGTATATGAAATATATAAATAAAAAATTGAGTAATTGGAATTTAGAAATTGCACTTTAAGAAGGTGGTTCTTTCTTACAAAAGTAAAATTGTAATTTGGAAAGTTTGCTTTTGTGGAGGAGGTATTTCAGCAGGAAAATTTCGAGAAAAAAATTCTTGCAACAAGGATGAGGACGACAATAAACTTGACCTAGATCTGACTCCAGGTCTGTGATTCAAAAGCAGGCCACTGGGATGGGGGGAAAGTGTTCTCACCACACTGCTGTCAACCTCCTGTCTATAACCCCTTAACACCCTAACATCAGTATGCATATTCTCCATACTGTTCTCCAAACATTTCTCAAGTTACTGATAAGGAGAATTTGTTTAACAATCAAGAGCTTATTTAGTTGGTGATCATTTATTTCCTTTATTATTGTGACCTTCATGTGTGATTAGATACTAGTCACTCTAAGGGTTTAACCCTTTACAATCTAACATCAGTATGCATATTCTCCTAACTGCTCCCTATACATTTCCTAGGGTGCTGAAAAGAGAATTTGTTTAATGATCATTTTCTTTATTCTCATGACCTTAATGTGTGATCGAGGGGTGTTATTGTAAGGAGAAATTTTACGCTTGTCGCTCTTTGGGGTTAAAGAGTTCCAGGGTTGAAGGGTTAAGATTTCTTTATTATTTATTCAAGTGTCATAGATGGAAATGGAAGCCTGATGAATGAAAGCTAATATTCACAGGGCACTGACCAGTAGTCCTCATTTGTTGTCGAGAACAGAGGATGTATTGAAGGATCAACCACAAAATCACATCTTCTCCTGTCAACATCTTCATTGTAGACAGTACCAGTACTTGCAGTTAAATGCTGAAACAAAGATATTTCATAAACATGAAAAACAGAGTTCTTATCATTGATGTCATTCGCAATCTGCAGGAACTACACTTGTTAAAAAATAAAATGCTGTTTGTGAAGTTTTAAAGAAGTTCTGATTACTACAGATTACATGACCTGTCTAAGAAAAACATAATTTTCCACATACCTCACAGACCCAGTTCGCAATTCTTAGACGTCGATTATAGGACAAAACATAATCATCCTTAGCTTTAATATTTTCAAAACCTGTCAATACAAAAATAAGTTATTGAACTATTTATGAACAACAGAAACTGCTCAGGACCAAAGAACTGACTGCTGATCGGGCTCTGCAGTTCTGATGAACAGGATGGTGGCTAATGGTTTAAACTTTTAAAAAAAACTGTAGGTCTGATATACACTTTTTATCTGATGTGAAATCTCATCAGCCTCTAGAGAGAGACTCAAATAAGTCTTATGAAATTAATCCATTTTTAAACAGAACTGTTATACCAAGTTAGACGAATATCAACCAGAATCTCTTATTTGACTCATGACTGAACTCTCAGAACTTAAATTATAAGAAATTTGAAGCAAATACTGTTGAGAATTTACATTTAGATCTTGAGAGTGAACTTAACTTATCACTACAGGAATAGTACCCTGTGAGCAGAGCCTAATTCTTTTGCCTCCTTCAAGGAAAGAGAGCAAAAGAAGACTCTGCCAAAACCTTGTAGTTTCTTATTTGAACATGCACAATGGTTGGTTAGAAAATAATTTGCTTCTATGCCTTCAGAGAAGGTGAAAGAATTAACCCTTTACACCCTAACATCAGTTTGCATACTCTCCATACTGGTCTCTATACATTTCCTAAGGTGCTGACAAGGAGAATTTGTTTATCAGTCAAGAGAATATTTAGTTTGTGATCATTTCTTTTATTCTCATGACCTTACTATGTAATGCAAGATTTATACTGTTGGGAGAAACTACATACTAGTCACTCTCAATGATTTAAGGGTTAAGGCTCCGCTTGCAGGGTACAGGGATAGACACAGGCAATTAGTTATATTAGCCAATCGGCTCAGTGTCGTAAGTCAACAAGTGGATAAGGTCCTATGTCAGGTATTTGACCCTTTTTACCCTAACATCAATACCTATATTCTCCAAACTGTTCTCTATACATTTCCTGAGGTACTGACAGGGAGAATTTGTTTAACAATCAAGAGATTCTTGACTTAGTGATCACTTCCTTTATTCTCCAGAACATAATGCTTGATTCACTCTTAAAGGTGAGAGTATTAGAAGCTACATTACACACCAGGATATCCAAATCTCATTATTTCTGACATTCTAGAGCCTGGACCATCAACTGTATCATGCTGGTTGGTTTTGGCCTGGACCATAGAAAAAACACCATAATGAAGCTTTTTCCTGTAAAAAAAATTTATATATATAAATATATACATAAATAAAAGGGATTTTAAAATATGAACAACAATTTTGTGGATAAGAATGTTTAGCTGCATAGAGCTAAATATATTTATTCTGTCAAATTGTTGTGGAAACCAAATGAAGGAAAAACCGATTGCTATCCAGTATCAGCTGACCTATATTATTTGAAAAATTATTAAATTTAACTCAATGTTAATCAGCTTCACGTACCCACTGATACAGCAGAACAGCATCTTAAGGAAACAAATTCCTCGTGATACAGAGTACGTTAAAGTGAATTTTGCTAAATATATACAGCAAAATTTGTAACCAATTTCCTGGTTGCACGTTCTTTCGATGCAATTTTAATTTGCAGTGAAAGAATCAAAGGTTGTTATGCTTGATTGCGTTCTGTGGTTAGAATAATCATCTATTGAATCATCTCAACCAAGTACCTGCAAAACTTCAATCTTTGATACTCATGAACCTTTGTTTGGCTAAGCTTGAGGGTTACGGACCACGGAAAAAGATGCAAATACGACAATAAAAAGGAATACCTTTCGTAGAAAGTTCCGAGGGTTCCTCCAATTCCAAAGGATACAACAGAAAGGGCAGGGATTACTAATCGA